GTCCTGAAGCGCTTGATCAGCGCCGCAGCTCCCCCGACTACAATGTCCAGCAAAACATCAGAATAATCGAAAACCAGTGAAATATCGGGTGGTGTGTACTTCCGAATGTCCAGCAATTCGTCTCTGGTGAAACTGATTGCAGGGATATAACTAAAGACAGGACAAACTAACAAAAACATAAAAACAACTGCGGAGCACGCCACGGAGGCCGCCATCAACGTCGGCGCCATCGCGAGATCATGACAGCATACCAGGCAGAGCTGTTGGAGGAGATGGGCCGTCAGCTGGATACAGGCTCTCCACAACCAGCCCTTTGGGAGGAGATCTGTTTGATTGCCGATCTGAACCTCCGCACATCACGTGGGACAGTTCAGAACTGTGGCAGGAGTATGAGGCTTGCTGTGGTGGGAGAAAGAGAGTTGTGGCTCAGTCTCTCAGGCCTTTCAGAAAAGGAAAAAGTGGATTTTCTGAATGCCCCCGTAGATCCCAAGGCACTGTTTGGTTCGACTGTCATGGCCATGCGCCAACAGTGTGACTTGAGAAAGAAAGAGGTAAACTATCTGGGTCTCAGACTGAATTCAGTGCTATACTGAGTGTTCTTATCAGAGGAACGCATCAAGTCATTCCACAGCTGCATTTCTCTTTTTCAGAAAGGGAGATCGGTTCCTCTCAGGATGTGTCTAAGGTTACTGGGGCTGATGGCCTCCACAGTGGCCGTAATTCCCCTGGGGCTGTTGAGAATGAGAGAATTTCAGCGCTGGACAGCGACTCAGAGCTTGCGCCTCGGAGAGTGACAGAGGAAAGGGACTGTGTTAGGTCCGATCACTCTAAGGAAGGTAGTGACGATGGATGCGTCTCTTAGGGGCTGGGGTGCAGTGTTCAAAGGCAGAACAGTGCGGGGGGTGTGGTCTCCTTCGCAGAGGGAAAACCACATAAATTACTTGGAACTACTAACGGTGTGCCTAGCCTTAAACCACTTTGTTTATTTCCTTTTTTTCATGTGCTGATCAGATCAGACAACACAACGGTGGTGGCTTACATAAACAGACAAGGGGTCTGCGCTCCCAACAGCTTCACAGTCTAGCTCACAGACTAATTGTGTGGAGCAGCACTCGGTTTCTGTCGCTTCGTGCAACACACGTGCCGGGAACAATGAACAGGGGAGCGGATCTGTTGTCCAGATGAAATCCCCGTTACGGAGAATAGGCACTTCACCCACAGGTGGTGATTTAGTTGTGGCAGAGATACGGACAGGCTGCCGTAGATCTCTTCACATCGTGCATAAACGTGCAGTGCCCTCTGTTCTTTTACCTAGCGGGAGAAGATATACCACTGGGTGTGGATGCTTTAGCCCACCCGTGGCCAAACGCATTGTTGTACGTGTTTCCCCCACTGAGTCATATCGGGCCAATATTACAAAGAGTACGGGAATTCAGACATTCACTGATTCTGATTGCACCGTATTGGCCGGGAAAACTGTGGATAGTGGAAATAATTCCACTTCTTTACGATCAACCCTGGCCTCTCCCGTTGTGCAGGGACCTTCTTTCTCAGGCGAACGGGGAGATATTTCATCCCGCACCCCACAAGGTAGCTCTGTGGGCTTGGCCCATGAGGGATGAATTTAGATGCCATCGGGTTACCCTATAATGTGATTGACACAATTCAGAGTGCGAGGGCAGCCTCCACACGCTCTCTATATGGTCATAAATGGAGAGTGTTTGAACGATGGTGTGCAGAGAGGCATATTATTTCGTTCTTATGCTCTGTATCGGATGTTCTTTGCTTTCTGCAAGAACTATTGGATAAAGGTATAGCCTTTTTGACTGTAAAGGTCTATCTTTCAGCTATTTCAGCATGTCATGTGGGGCTGGATTCGGGAACGATAAGTCAGCACCCCCTGATATGTCGATTTATGTCACGTCCGGTCACTAAATCCCTGATCCCATCCTGGGACTTAACAGTGGTTCTGGATGCGCTCTCGCAGCCTCCTTTTGAACCATTAGAGGGTATTGATTTGCGGCGTCTTTCTTTAAAGACTCCTTTGTTGATCGTTCTCACTACAGCAAAGTGCGTAAGTGAATTACACGCTTTGTCATTACATCTGTCCTGTATGCAGTTTGCATCGGATGGATCAAAAGTTACACTAAGAACTAACCCGGCATTTGTTCCCAAGGTCAGGGACACAACAGGAGCAAATAGATCTGTGGAATTGTTAGCGTTCTTTCCACTGCCTTTTTCTTCATCAGAGGAAGAGTGGTTACACTGTTTATGCCTGGTGCGCTCTTTGAGTGTTTATGTGCAGAAGGCAAGACTGTTACGAAGGAGTAATCATATCTTGGGCTGACAATAAACGAGGGAGTCCTATTTCATGTCAGCGGCTTTCTCACTGGGTGGTAGATGCGATTGTAATGTGTTACAAGGACGCAAATTTACCACCTCCACCTCGACTTTGCGCCCACTCCACACGAGGAATGGCCACATCCTGGGCTATGTTCAGGGGAGTTTCTATTCAGGACATTTGTGCTGTGGCGAGCTGGGCATCACCGCACACATTTGTGAGATATTATAGATTGGATGTGACAGAGTCATCTCTGGCTGATTCAGTGCTCGGAGTGGGAGCAGTGCCTGATATGTAATGCACCTCATTCAGGGCATACTCACATATTTTAGAATTCAGTAAACACATTGTGCTTGTGTTCACTGTATTATATTATGAAGTGCATGATGTTTGCTCAAGCATTAAAGCCATGATCACTTGTTTATCACCATCCTATGTTGCATCTGTTCATACAGCATTATCTGTAATACGGGAGTGGTCTAGATCCCATAGTGAGATACCGAACGGATGTTAGAAAGAGAATGTTAGGTTACTTGCATTACCCCGGTTCTCTGATAACAGAAGTGCGGTATCTCACCTCACCGCCCTTCTTGCAGACTACATGGTGAAGAAGTTGTGCGGAGAATGATGCGGCAGCGGGCTGCAGTGGGTTATATACCAGGGAGGCGGGACTCCCTGATCGCTGCAGCGATTGGTCTGTCAGTCTGACAAACGTGGTGTAATTGGTACTTCCGCAGTCGGTCACGCCTGAGGCATTCCCATAGTGAGATACCTCACTTCTGTTATCAGAGAACCGGGGTTACGCAAGTAACCTAATGTTTCAAACAATGTAAGAGACTGACTTTATATCAAGGAAAATAGTAAGGACAAAGTATCATCTAGTATCCCAACATCCTTCTCTATTAAATAATATCCTCAAAAGATAAGTTCACTTGTATGAGACATTGACATTTTTGTATTACTCTGAATAGAGCACTCACCTTGAGAGCATAAAGGACATTAGCTATGGGAATTCATCTGAAAACATGCATTTCTTGTGGTTTATAAAATCAGTATAAAAAAAAGCACTGAAAAGCACCTGGTCATACTAAAAAACCTACACATGTCCTGTCTCATGGGCTACAACAAAGGCAGAAGAGAAGCCGTCTTCATGATTGAGGGTGCAGCTGCGGACAGGGTGGCACATCCCGGTGACAGGGGCATATCCTGAGAGTGAGTGAGTGACAGAGACAGACAGAGAGGATGAAACAGTTACTAGGGTTTATTTATTCTGTCATAACTTGGGACTACATTCTGACAGCTTGCTGCTTAGTGTAATTGTAAAACTTTAAGCAGAGTGATGCTGACAACTCTGTAAAGAGCTGTCCATCAGAATTAGATTATTTTTAATTTTTTTTTTTTTCATTTTTTGTTTTCATTTGTTTTATAGCCTGTTCTCTGGAGTTATGACATGTAATGACCCTGTAAAGCCTGACACATAAAATAATAGTCTGAAATGCCTATTTATTTTAAATGAAACAGTTTACAGAACATTTAGACAAAATTTAGAATGAATGAATGAATGAATGAAAGAAAATCAAATTTGATACTTTAGGCTTTTATAGTTCTTAGAGTATGATATGGGGGAATATGGAGCTCATACTCCAGGTGGAAATAAACTATTCTATACAAAAGGCCCAAACTGAGCAAAAATAACTATTTATTTATTTTCATTGTGGATGAATGCAATGCAATAAAGTTATGATTGAGAGATGTACAAATACCTGTAAACTCAAAATGTTCTCAAATGCTTGATGCATCATATTAGACACTCACATTTTAACATGATTTAAATTATCATGTTAATTATCTATGCCTAACAAGTACGCCTAAATTTCTTCAATCTAGTAAGTGTTCCCTTTCAGTCGGTCACTCTCGACGTCACGTCGGATGACCGACGAAATTGGGATCTCGCTTAGAGAGACCAATCTACTTCGAGAACTATTGCCAACAATATAAAATGTATTTTTCAGTAAAGATTTATTTATCAGTAAATATTTCACAGCAAAAGGGTATGCGTACCACAACGTGACAATTTAAAACTTATACTAAAAGGCATTTTACTTGCTAAAAAAGTATAAACTATCAACAATAAACTATCAAAGTATAAACACAATAGTACATTGTGTTAACAGGGTTTTAAGCACAGTTTTGATCATAATTTAGAAGCCTTAAAAATGTGCCTATCAAATGTGATACAGTAGGCTTTTTAGGATTAACAATTCAAATCCACATTTGAAATACCATTTATTAGAGGGGCAGAGTCCCATATGTGTCAGTATGTGCCAAAACAATGTGACCTGCCATCTGTCATTACACCATATTTCATTGTGTTGAACAAAAACAGTTCTAGTATAATACAGTGAAGTGCATGTGTAATTGTTCTACTTACAATCTGGCATGCACTCAAGAACAATAAATGACAAACAAGTGTCAATCATACATATAAATATATAAAATTCAGATAAAATCCAAAAGAGTGATGTGAAATATGAATGATTCTTGTTCATGGCAACTGTTGTGCAAAGTGATTTGGATAATTGTGCTGGTTTTCAAGTGTCTGTGTGTGTGTGGGGTTAAAATTGTAATGCAAAAAACATTCACCATAGCAGGATTTATATGTTCCTCAAAAAGTAAACACTGATGCTCTATAAATTTTGCTTTATTTGTTTGAGCATTCTGATCAGTCAAACACAAAAACACTGGCTGAACAAAAGGCCTGAGTTTGGGACCTGTCCAAACAATCCACTTACTTACTCCTTTGATTTACTGTCAAAGGAGTTCACCCAAAAATGAAAACTGTCTTCATTTACTCAGCCTCATGTCATTCCAAACTTGTATGACTTTCTTCTGTGGAACATACTTTCAAGAACGATGGGGTCTAAAAGAGAATTGGACTCCACTGACCTTCTTTAAGACATTCTTCTTTAATGTTACACAGAATAAAAATTCAAACAAGTAAATTTTTTAGTTCATTTTTGGATAAACTAAAGCTAAAACTCCAAAAGTAAAACTAAAAAATAAATTTTTCAAAAAGAGTGAGCGGCACTGAGAAGTGCATTATAATTCAAAGCAGGCAGCAATATGCTTAAAAAAACGCTTCTTTCAGTGCAGTATTCAGTGTGAAACAGTATATTGTGACGGGTATCAGACCACAGGGACTTTGGCTATGTTTGTTCAATCACAAGCACCATGCACCACTAAGAATGAAACAATCCTTTGATGCAAACCTACAAAACTATGACAGATGCCTGACTGAAGAGCTCAGTTCTTAAGCTACATTCATATCTGGTGTCACTAGGCCAATAAAGCACATCGGATCTGATTAGCTCAATATCGCCACTGCCAGACACTGAATGCATTGCAGGTAGATGGAGAGGACAAAGAGCTCTTCTCGGATGATTAGTGAAGGCTGTGAGTACATACAGTGGCATGATAAGGGAAATGTGAGAGTAGCAGTGACAGCATAAACACTTCATGCTGAGATCAGTACTCTTCTCAGGAAAAGCTTGAGTTTTCCTGTCAGGCTGAATAGATGTCAAATGTGCACTGTGTGAACTTTGTCAGTGCTGAAGGAGATATGCTTTGAGAGGACTGCTGCTTCAGCGGCCGCCTCCAGCCTTAGACAACAAAATCCCTTTTTCCTATGTGCTTAGGTAAGTGTGCTTTCATGTCTCTCTGCTATCCTTTTCCAATGCTGTGAACCTCTTTACAAATCAACAATCTGTCTAAAGAAGAGCTTGTACACCAACCAGCATTCTGTCAGGCTGGCATTTCGTACAGCATTGATGAGGTGCTGACAGAATCCCATGGGGACTGCAAGGTAGTATTAGAGAGACAGAGAGAGAGCGAGAGAAAGACTGACCTTTTTCACAGTATGAACATATTTAAGACATCTGGGTTTGGGTGTGGAAAACGCTATAGGACATGACAGGGTTGAAAATGTTTGGAAGTCACAGGCATGTCAAAGACCAAAGGTCAAACCTTGCATGCCGGTGGGGCCGAAGCCTTGCCGGGTCAAGAAGATGGCGTGGTCGTGATGCTCGGAGTGCTCTGGATCCTCTTTCTGTTGGATGACTGCCCAGCGGCACACGTTTTCCAGGCTTCGCGAAGGGTTGCCACCCTCAATGAGACTGATGGACTGAGAAAAAGATTAGAGACTCATTAGGGGACACTTGCAGCATTCATTAATCTATAAAACACCTTAAACTGACTCACATCGATCACTGTGGGTCTGTTTATTTAACGTATTCTAGATAAACCCCTGTTTACAAATAGTCAAGGAAGTAGTTGAGATCATTGAAGCTTAAATTCAAACCTTTCTATTTGTAAATTACAGTGAAATATACTAAAACCCATTTTGTGCGTTGCTTCTTTTTTCTACTACATTTCAATTATTAATCACATTAATATGTATTTCCAGTGCAGAGGACAAACCATGTTGCAAACTATGTTGTACGCAATTATTTGTGTATTACAATCTAGACATGAAATTACCTCTGTGTATTTGTGAACTGTATTATGAGCTTACAAAATATTTATGTGTTATTGCATGGAAGTGTACATTAGAGAGAGGTTTTGATACTCTCATAATTGGACTAAAATAAGAGGCTAGACATTTTTCAAAACTGTGGTGATAAGTGACCTGTGCTGAAATGGGGGAGGGCTTTAAGTCACATTAGGTTTAGTGGGGGAAAAAACCTGTCACATATAACCCATTTACGACTCTTGGGCAACCAAAATTCTCTTTTTCCCTCTGTAATTATGTTTTAGGTCACTACGGATGTTTTAAAAACAACTGGAGTATTAGTAGACAACTTTAGCCGGACCGGTCAAGTGATGGCACTTAATTCGTGCTGCCAATTATGGATGTTTACCTAAAAATGCAACATTAGAGGGTTATTATTGTTAACTAAACCTAAGGGGGGAAAAAGAAAAAGTATATTTCAGCTAGTTGTCAAAGCATTATTTCTCATTTCAATTTAGTTTAACTTGATGTACTAACATAACTAAAACTGAAATAAAAAATGAAAATGAAAACAAATACAAAAAAATGTGTGTGTGTGTGTGTGTGTATATATAATGTTTAGGGAAAAAACTATATTGTCAAATAAAAATAAAGAAAATAAGAACAAATAATCTAACTACAAGCAACAGCACAAATAAATAAACAGTTAAAAAAGATACAAATAAAATAAACAGTGCTTTTCAGTTTTTTAGGTAGGTCTAACATAGTTATTAGGTACAGAAAATGAATAAATCAAATGTAAAATAACATTGCATATTTGACTGTATAAATTAAAGATTAATCCTTATTAAAGTTACAAAAGTTATTCAATCAAGAGCAGTGAGTGATTTCTTTGTTGGTGTAACAGAATATGTTGACATGCTTTAATGTTCAAAAAACACATTATTTTTCAAATACTGTACATTATACAGTATAATGTAGGTCCTCTATGCCCCGCCTCTCTCAAACACGTCGTTTTCAACAAAGCCCCCTCCTTTGACTGCTCCTGCTCTCATTGGCCAGCTGACCCAGTGCATTGTGATTGCCCGAACACCACAAGCACGCGTCGGAAATGTAATGCCCCTTACCATAATCGCAGCTTCAGCTTTCAAAGTAAATATCAAGACAGTTAATAATGTCGTTAGT